AGCAGCTCTGCCAAAGGATCAGTACCAGGAGGAGATGCAGGATGTGGACAAGCAAGAGTCTGCTCCCAGAAGCACCTTGAAGGGTCATCAGGATGAGCTGGAGAGAGCACAAAGCACCAACAGCCAGACGGAAGAAGAGAAGAACAAGGTGGGAGTCACTCTGCCATCATTTTTGTTTATGGCCAGTGAAGGTGGAATATCTTTAAAAAGCCAAGAAGATTAATCACTTCAAGAAACTTGAGTAAGCATCCAGAAGAAAAAGCTGATATGTATGTAATTTATGGAACTAAAGATTGTATTTCAAACTAGAAATAATAATTCATTAAAGCTGGCCTGTTTTTATTGGTGGCTATGAGGTTTAGAAATAAATACCAATGTGGTGATTCCATATGTTATCAGACCATAGAGATGAGCTCAGTCCTTTGTTTTGTTAGGCATAATTCAGCATGGCTCACTGGTTCATAAAGGTATGTTGACACAAGAACAAGAGTGGCACTCCTTCTCTCGTCTTTCAGCTGGTGGGTCTCCATAAGCCCTGGAGGTCAGGCAATTGCTCTCCTTCCTACCGTCCCACTGCTGGGATGTTCAATCCAGACTGGGCCTCTCCTCCCTACCCTGGTTCTCCTTTACTCCACAGAAGAGCAACCAGAGCAGTATCACCTCTGTCTGTTGTTGGAGACATCTCTCCACTGGGCTCCATTAACTCAGGAAGTCCTTGTCCAAGCCCCATCAGCCTGGAGTCAGAAACAGAACGACTGAACAGGTGAGTCTCAGGGGCAGCTCCAGATTTCTAACATCTATTTCACTTCTCACAGAGAGTAAGAAAGATGGTTACTACTCTCACACCTGTTTGTTAAAATGGTGATGACAAGCCTCACTGCACCTTGCACAGAATACCTAATGTGTATTCAGTAGTAAGCTTTATAAGGGCTGTTAGGCAGTCTGTGTTACTTTTGGACAGAATCAGGTTAGCCGTTTCTCCCATTTGTTTTTGTTTCCGTTCTTTATGCTAAGCTAGCTTCACTGGCCACTGGGTTTTGTTCATATTTACCCTATAGCCATGAGAGTGCTGCTCATCTTTCTTTAGTTTAACACTGTGAACATGTACATTTATCTAATAATTGTTGGTTTGGATTTAAATCAACCAAGAAAATGATGCATTTCTCTACAGTTTTACTTTAGAGATATCATGGATAATTATCACTCTGTAAACATGTTCCCTACTGTTCTTGCTCTTGTCGCCATCCTCCTACGTCTCAGGTACATCGAGAGGCTAAAGGCCAGAAATGAACGTCTGACTGCAGCTCTGGAGCGAAGGAAGAAAGAGTCAGAGCAGATCAGTGTTACACTCACTAGGCTTGAGTCTGATTGTTCTTCCCTGCAGCTGGCTCTCAGATACTGGTACACATGTAACACACACACCACACCACATTCGTTGTCAGTGTCATAATGTCCTTTTATGTGTGTCAGAATTATGAACACGCACAGATCAGTAATATGATGTAGTTTCTTCTCAGATTACGAGGTCATTTGTTTTTGTGGTTGTGATTGACAGTGAGGAGTGTGAAGAGGCCTACAGCGAGCTGCTGTCACTTTACGAGGCCAAGAAGCAGCAATCCATTCCTCTGCAGACAGACTCAGCAGGTGTTTTAAATACCACTGTTTAAAGCGTCTTACAGCTCAACAACACATACTCTCACTGCGCAGTAGTATGCATGTCAGTCGCATAAAGACAGTCTGCCTCACAGTTTTGTCCTCTCATCAGAGGCATTCGGTCACAGGCAGCAGCCTGACAGTTCATCAGCTCGGCTCAGGAAAATGGGAAGTGAAGAGCTATCCACCTCCTTCTCAACACCAGGGGTCACAGCGGAGACAGAAACACAGAGTCACACAGGACAGAGGTGACATTCTAAAGTACTATTTGTACATTTAAGCACAGTAATAGGAACGGCTACCAAGGAAAATGTGTGTCACCGATGACTGTCAGGTTTACAGACTGAATTTGCAAATAGAAAGCAAAAAGTTACAAATATTGCATATATTATTTTGTACCACCACCAAAGACCATGATGTTTGAAAAGCTATTAGAGATGACTGTGTGAAAATAATTAAGATTTTTTAGCATTTCTTATTTTGGTTGAGTCATTCACCCACCTGTAACCATGCAGGGCACCCGAGCCGGTGGATCGAGAGGCTGTTCTCCGTCAGCAGATTGAACGCCTAAAGAAGGAGCGGGCAGCCATTTGTCTATCCAAGTCGAGTCGAGGAGTTGAGGGCAAAATGAGCATTGAAACTGGTCACCTGTCTGGACTGAGAGGGGGACATATGGCTAAAGATAACACCAAGCCTCTGGATACCAAGAAAGAGAAGGCTACCCTCTTCTATGAACTCATTTCTGTCAGGGTAGGAGCTGTGTGGTCATGGATTGTGTTATTTGTACAATGAAAAGTGCCACGCCACATCCAGAAAAGGCTTATGTGCTAATTTTATAATCATTTTACATAGTTTTTGGGGTAAAAATCTACGTTGCACTACAAAACATTACACACAATCCCAAAACACATTGTTTGAATTGTACATGCAGTATGACACTGGATTTTAATGTCTTTTTTTCCTTTTATATGGTTTGACAACCAAATAAAGTTGAATTTTATGAGTCTCTATATTTTTGTCCTCCCCAGCTACATACATGAAAGGGTCAGAATATTAGGAACACCACTGCCTAATGTAGTCCAGTACAACACCATCTTTAACTATGACCCCAATAATAAATCTATAATTGAATTTATACATTTCTGACAATTTCACCAAAAACATAAACATCTTAAGCTTCATATGCACAGCTGTTAAGGCGGATGTGTTATTTTGAACTGCATACAATTTACAGGTGTACCTAGTAACGTGGCCAGTGAGTGTGTATTGTACTATATATGCTGTTATGGCATGTAAACTGTTCACATATTAGACACTTGGTGGGGTAAAAAAAAAAAGAACCTACCACAAGAGCCTAAAGTGCAAGTCAAACTACTACTACTAGTTCTACATCTTGTTATTCTGCCAATGCTTTAGAAATTCATCCACCACTGATTTACTCATACCTGCATTTAACTCATTGTTTGTTGTATGTTTTATCTGTTCAGGGGGAGATGTCGGATCTTCGAGCTCTAATCCGCCTTAAAGAGAAAGAGCTAAGGTGTCTGGAGTGGAGTTTAATGGCCCAGAAGGCCCAGGAAGCAGCTGGTGTTTTTGTCCCAGAAAGTCTGCGAGAAGAGCTGGAGGATCATAACACTGAACAACAGGTAGAACAGACTCTTAACACACACTTTTTTTTTAAATTTTCAAATCATACAAAGTCAAGGTGAAACTAGCAAGAGGGAGCAGGGCGTTGGTCTACTGCGACAGACCTGATTCAGATCTGGGCGTCCCACATGGGAAATCACATATCTACCAAAGCAGAATCCCTCCAGGCCAAGAAGGATAATTTGGTTCCACGAGGTCTTCGGCTGAGCTGTCCTGTCACCGCAGCACAGATTCATACACCACTACACACCTCTCTCATTGTCATGTGACAAAGAACAGCTTCTTAAGGTCAACACAGCCTCCTTTCTGTTACTACAGACACAGTGCATTAGGAACAATGGTTGCAGAGACTTTTGTGCCTCAAGGGATAAAACGTCCCTCTAAAACTGGCTTCTTCACTTCATCAGTACTTATTTTTAATGGCGTAAAAGAGAAACCTGATCAGACAAAGAGCAAATTAAAGTATAGTGTTAGACCAGTGTAACAAAGACTGACTATGTTTATCCCTAAGAAACTTGCCACCTTCTTTCATTTTCTAATTGTGGCTTAATAATTCTTCCTTCCCAACCTGAGAGACGGGGCCCCCCTGCAAATATCGATCTGAACTAATAACATTTCTTGTTGGAAACTCAAATGTCTACAAAGAAACACAAAACTAAGAAATCCTAAACAGGTACAATGCAAAATGACCTCAAAGAGATGGAAAGTGACAAAAAATGACTGCAAAGAGGTGTAAAACCAAGTACACAGCAATGCAAACTGCCCACAGCTAAACAGATGCAAAATGATTAAAATGAGATGCAAAATAACAAAATATAGGTGATAAACAACCACAAAGAAGCAAAATGATTAAAAGAGACACAAAACTACCACAAAGATTTTTTTCTCATAATCTGTCCATGGCCGAACTGTTTACAACTCACAGATAAACGTATGCAAACTAACTAAATGTTGTGAGGAGACCCAGCTTCACTGGTCACAAGCTGAAAACCACTGCTTTAGATTACAAAGTATACTGTGTTCTTTAATAAACTTTTTTGAGCTTTAATTCTAATTGAATGTTATGTTTCAGAGACTCTGTGAGACCACAGCTAAGCTGGGTTGTGATGGGGACATCGCCGGTCCTCAAACCAGGCCCATTGTGAAAGAGCTGCAGGCCGTCCTGCAAAGGTGAGACATCCTGCATGTCCCAGTTTCATAATGCTAACTCTGTGCTTTCACACAGGACGAGCGACAAAATGAGGTGTCCACTGCTCAAAGGTGGGGGTGGGGGTGGGGGTGCGGGGAACTGGTTGTAACATCTCCTGGAGAAAAACATTTTGCTGTCTCTTTGCATCATCCTAAAGTCGCAAACTAACGATGCATCAGTTCCTGTTGCTAAAACATTTATCATTTTGATTATTTGTATACCAACGATGGTATACATATAGAAGAATGTAGTATCTACTGTATATAATTAGTATGTATTATTAATGTGGGTCACATTGATTTACAGTAGATGACTGCAAAGCACCAACCACCAACCTTACTCACTAGGAATAAGAAAATACACAAAATAAAACTTTACAATGATACAGTGATTGATACAATCATACCATGGACATGCACGAGATCAGTTTAAAAATACAAACGCACATTATCCATGCATGAAAACATGCTTGTCTTCATGCTGTAAAACACTTAAAATAAAATAATTTAAGATAAAATACAGAATATACTAAATTGTCCATGTAGCATTTTAGAGAAAAGTCATAAAAATTTATACCATCAGCAAAGCTAGGAAAGTGAATACTGTGCACTGCTGCAGCGCATTCTCTCTGAAGTCACTCACACACCATTAGACAATGTTTCTTTATAGATTTGATATTATTTCTATGAGGAAACATCTTTAGTTCCTCAAGCAAATACATAGCTTTACATTGTGTTTTCCCTTTTGTTTTATCTGATGTTTTTCCAGGGAGCAGGCCCTGAAAAAGAGGCTAGCTTTAGTCCATGACTCATTAAACACAGCTCTCTCAGACAGCAGCTCCCACAGGAGGGACAATGGTGAGCAGATTGCACGACTCTCACAAGCTCACAGGTAAATGTCACAAGATCTATCTCCTGTTCCTAACAAAACCAAAACCAAAATAAAACCTGTTCTAAAGTGGATCTTGCGGGTGTTTTCTATTCCAGTAAAGCCTTGAGTTCATACCGGCAGATTCGCCGGAAGTACCGCGAGCAGGTGTGGAGGCTGGAACAGAAAGTGGCGGCCATGATGGAGAGTCACGAGAACCAGAGTGGAGCACCAAAAGCTCCAGAGGAAAACCTAGACTGGAGACGGGAAGAGACTGTGCTGTGATTTTCCAGTCATGCTCTTAGCTAAACGTTATCAGCTACAACATACATGAAGTAGCTTGTGTGTATCACTTTTAAAACTAGATACATTTTTTTAAAGTCCTTAAATCCTCACTAGAATTTTCTTTAATAATAAGACACTTATACCTTTAGTTTATCTTATAACATAATGATTAAGAGCTGAAACACAACAACAACAGGGGAGACAAAATGACGGATACAGGTGAACAGGTGCAACTAGGCAGGTAAGATGGTTGACCCAGGTGTGTACATGACTTCCAGGTAAATAATCACTCTCTAATATGTGGCAGGCAGAGGGAGAGCACAGGCTCACATGGGGACATAGGCTGAGTCATGGTCGAACAGGCAGGCTAAAGCAAACAGTTCAGACAGGGGGCGGTCAAATAATCAGATCCAGAGAGAAACATAGTGTCCAAATACAGGTAGGCAAATGGTTCAAATGAAGGACAGACTACTGACCAGGTACCAGGAGATGGAAGATGGGTTCAAGAGTTGAAACAGAAGCAACCAAAGGGAGAAGCAGGTCAGCAACATAACAGGTAAACAGAAAAGCACAGTGGTTAGTCACTGAGGTGCTCCTACATGGACATTCTAGGGGGAAATGAGTGCAGCCTGGTGGCTTAAATACTGACTGACTGATTACACAGACAACGAGCAGGTGAGCGTGGGTAGAGCACGGTGTAAGAGCAGGAATACTGAGCAAAGACATCGGGCTGGCTCTCAAATGACAGGACCACGACTGGGACAGGGACAGAAATATTATTTGACAGATACTGAGAAGAAGGGGATGATTTACACAAAACAAAACAAGCACATGGAGATGAAACTGTCAACTATATCATGACCCCGAAAAAAAGCAGAATATCTTTATTCTCTTATTTTCCGTTTTCATGTTCATCTCATGATTTATTCCTTAACTTTCATATCTGCCTGTCTTTCTTCCTCCCACTCAAATCACTATTTCTCTGCCTTTACCTTTCACTTCCACTCCCTCCATTTTATCTCCTCTCTCATCACTCAATCATCTCTGTCCTCTCTCCCCCTGCAGCCGCCCCTTTGCCCTGACCTTCCCGAGTTGTTCAGCTGCTGCTGTGACCAGTGGTCAGGAGGTTAAGGCAAAGGTTGACTGTCACACCCACAGGGTCACAGCTATGCCTGGCTGTTGTATCAGCCTGTGAATAGAGCGTTCAGAGTGCCAGACGAGGCGGCGAGCCCCTGACGCCCTGCCTTTTGCCTGAGCTTGCCCTTTCCCGAGCAGAGGTCACTGTCCTCCCCGCTCCTCCCATACCTCCAGGTCACCATCACTAATAGCTGCCATAAGAGCAGATGATATAATTATTGTACCATTTTGTGTCCCCCTCTTGAAGATCTATGTTAAGCTTTTGAGTTCATCAAAGGTTTTTAAACAACTTGATTGCTGTAACCTCTGGGTGACTCCTCTGTCAAAGGGAACACAATCATGACAAAATGTCTCACAAAAAGAAAAAGGTATTTGTTTTCATCCATGGCTAAATGCCTTTTATTATGTCATATGCATTTATATAGTGGTGGAAGTCATCACACCCTTTAATTATATACCAACATAACAAGTCCTGCATTTGAAACCATACTTAAGTAAAAGAACAAATGAACTACCAGGAAAATAAACTTAAATGATCAACATAAAAGTATTCTTTTTTTTGCTGAGAAACTACCCTGTTTATTTATTTATTGTTATACACAGTAAGTGCACTAAATTCAACAACTGTACTGTTAAGTCATCTGTAACAGTGCATAAGCTCATCATATTATTTATTTTAGCTTGACATTAAGTGTACATGAGAAAAAAGGCTTTTTTTTTTACTTTTGAACACTGTATCTGTATTAGCACTACAGCCTCAGGACTGTGGTCACATAGGATTTGCACAATGCAACTGATGCTGTACTTAAGTCAAAGCTGAAATTCACTCCTTTCAAATAAAGGTTCTGGCTTTAAAATGTTACCAGTAGCATGTATTATTAGTTCACGCAGCGTGTGTGAGTCACATATTAAATGTTTGTTATTGTGGATGCATTGATGTGTCAGTGACATTTTACTGTTGGAACTGTTCAAGGGGAAGCTCATTACAAATATATTCAAATATTTAAAACAAATCATTTTTATTACCTTGTTGAGCCTAGTGTCTATTTAAAAATAAAATTGTGATTTATATTTTGTTTGATAGTTTGGTGGTGACAATGGATCATATTTTATAATTTAACTGTATGTTTTTAATCTAAAATCTTAATGTGTAAAACAACTTGCAAGGACAGCTGTCAGATACATGTAGTGGAATATAAAATAGAAATTATCACATAGAAACATTCAAGTAAAGTACCTAAAAAGCAGTACTCCATATCCCACCGCTACTCAATAAACTGCAGCTTTTGAATAGCTCTTAAATACATTTTCTTCAAACAAAAAACACATTTCTGTGTTAATATGTTAAAACCTTGCTGCAACCTTGATCCCACATGAAAGTGTAAAGGTCTAATCTAATCTTTCTTATGATAACGTTATTGAAGATATGCTGTGATGCAATATGTATTGAAATATAGTTTTGTAAAAGTGCACTAATGACAGAGTAAGATAAGAAAATCAAACATAGCAAAGGATGGTGTTTCAGTTAGAGTCCTTTTCTGGCTGCTGCAGAGTCTGCAACAATCTCATCTGTAAACATTTAACCTCCACATTTCTGGACACATTTCTACCCCCACATGTTTCGACTAGTGCTTGAGCCTGTGGATAGGGGAGTTTTTCAGTGCCTGGGAAAAATAACCAAACCATTATTACACAACAACAGAGGCTGTCAATCAGTGTGGGGGTGGATGCAATCACACACACACAAGCTTAAGCAGGAGGGCAGTGACCCAGGGGATTTAGGTCAACTCATTTACTCTCTGGATCCATTCCCCATTTTAATAAGTTGCCCCTGTGTATGAGATTACAGCCTGTGCCTTTCATTTTCAGAGCCATTAGATCACCTGTCACAACCACTCCATAGTCCCTCTCATCTCCTCCTCCTCTCAATATCTCTCTAGTCTCTCCTCTGAGCCCCAAAATGCTGCCACGCTGACCCGATGCTGCTCTCCTGAGCCTCTGACACCAGCCGGCCCGTGGAGAGGTCAGGATGACGGGATGGTATCAGCGCAAAAAGAGGTTTGACCTCAATCAAACAGCCTATCACATCCACTTTGTGCTCTTGCCCATTCAAATAAAGACAGCAAACAGCTCCGACCAACAGGCCACCTCTACATCACACCACCACCATATAAAGAGTGAAACCTTTCTACAAACAGTGTATCCAGTGAGTCCAGCTAAGGTGATTATCATGCTTGAGAAAACTGTTTAATATTATGAATGTTTACAACCAGCACATTTGATTTAATGTAGACTATGGCTAGATAGAAGTATGAGATCCTAAACTAATGAAAAGGTCATTTTCATTAGGAATAAGCTCTTACAAATCTAGACAAGTGAAAATGGATGAGGTAACTCTTCCACAAGCTTGAAAGAAATCTGTTCTGTGCATCCAGTGGGCTCACTGACCAGATCATTTACCAGAAAATTCCTAAATTTCTTTTTAAAAAGTAACTGGACATGTGCCAACTTATGAAGAGCCAAATCAAATCAATTCAAGTAGCTTCAAACTTAAATCTGCTTTCTCAACTTCATGTCTACAAAAATACTGAAAATGCAGCCTTTTGCAGTTTTGCTCCCAAATCGTGGAACAGCCTACCAGTGGAAATAGAACAAGCAACCTCATTAGCGTCTTTTAAAAACAGCTGAAAACCGGTCTTTTCAGCTCAGTTGTTGTTTTGTTTTGGGGATATTTTGTTTCATTTTTGTTTTTGAACATGTACGTGAACTACATGGTATTGTTGTGTGTCATGTAATGCCATGTTGGAACATTTTACATGATAGTGTGACACAATAAATTCCTTTATTCTTTCATACAAATAGGCAAAAATTCAGATAAAGTCTGAATAAGTCAGTAACAGAAACATTATAAATGCAGATTCTTGCTTGCTGATGTAAAGAAGCATCTGATGTGAATCATGTGAATCATATGCCAGATGTTAGCAGATCTCAGTCCATCTGAACAGCTGTGGGACATTTGGACTGATGTGTCAGACAGTGCTCTCCACCACCACCAACAAAACATCCATCTATCCATTATTTATACTGCTTATTCCTGAATAGGGTTGTGGGGGTGCTGGAGCCAATCCCAACTGACATTGGGTGAAAGGCGGGGTCCACCCTGGACAGGTCGCCAGTTTATCACAGAGTCACCAATCAGCCTAAGCTGCATGTCTTTGGACTGTGGGAGGAGGCCAGAGTACCTGGAGAGAACCCACACAGACACAAGGAGAACATGCAAACTCCACATAGAAAGGCCCCGGGTCAGCCCGGTCTTGAACCTGGAACCTTGCTAACCGCTGCAACACCATGCCACATTCCAACAAAGCATGAAATGAGGAAATATGTTTTGGAGCAATAGTGTTCCTTCCTACATTAGAGGCCGAGATGCTTAGATCAAAATTGCACTGCGGTTATCCAAAGATAGAGTATATAAAAGTACAAAACAGCTCAAAAAGGGTGTATATATGTATATATATATACATATATACACACACACACACACACACATATATATATATGTATATAACACACACACACACACACACATATATATATATATATATATATATATATATAGCTGTGATGTTTCTTAAAGCCTCCCTGTTGCAAGGAGTTCACCATCTGTGTGTTTTTAGTATAAGCTGAGTACATCAGTGTCCAGACCAAGGGAAACCTGTAGAGCAGATGAGCTAATCAGTCAGTTAGCTTGTCAGTGTGCCCACAGTAGATTACAGCAATAAGACACCGGGGGAGTGGCCTTCGTGTAATCCTGTTAAAGCATTTGAGTTCTTTACATTGAGCTAATTAGGTTAATTTTCAGTATTGTAAGCACCTTAACTGATCTATAGCTGATGCACAGGGCACAATCAGGGAGCAAAGACTGGACACAGATTTAGAAGAGACTGAATTTATTGATTGGGAAAACAATTTGTCATGATTCTTGCCCTGGTCATATAAATTTTGCCCAGTCTGTCCATCTGTCCCCTCCAGCCATATGCACACCCAGGCCCCTACGTTTATATGGACCTTTTCTTACCTGCTGATCTGCACATTTCTTTCATACTGTATGCCCTCAGATTTCTCCACCTGTTTCAGTCACCTGATTCCACCTTCCACCTTTCCTGCAGTAATGCTTGTTTTCCCACCTTTCCCTTGACCCCCTACACCCACTTGCTCACCTGTTTTCAATTCCAACTCATAGGAAACATCAGCTTACTTTCCCCAGACTGTCATGCTGTTCAACCTGTGACTTGTTTTGCTCTGGTCACCTACGCCTGTCTGAAAGCCTTATCGTTGTCATTTCCACTGCACCTGCATGCCTCTCTGTCAGCAGCTGGGTCCCCTTTCCCTTTTGCCTGCATCAGTACTTGTGATAATGACCAAATTATTGTGGCTACAAAGAGCATTACATTAAAGCCCTTCCTGGAAATGTTAGGCTTCCTGGACGATTAAAAGCAAAGTTAATCTTTCAAATGGGCTATCAACTAACAACATTTTGACACCTTGTCAATGGTAATTATTTTATGTTAAGCTAAATAGTTTTTGAAAGTAATGCTACTTTGTCAGCAGCTCAGTTTAGATCTTTCAGCAGACCCATCATTATAAACTCATACATACCATCACAAAGTTGAGATGTGAAGATTACTAGAGATACTATACTGTATGTCATGTTGAATGAACTGAAAGAAAGGAAGGTCACGACCGTATCTGTAGGTCATGACTCTACAAATATTTTTGTAGAGTTTGTAAAGACCAAAGCAAATTAGGTCTATCAAGTGGCCTGATAAACACACCAGAAGAATGTTTGTGTTAGTCTTTGTGAATTAGCAGCTGCCAACTGTTAGGCCAACACATTCAAAGTAACAGCGTTATAAGGTGATTATTTGTCACTTCTGCATTTACATCTTGTTCTGTTGCTTTAAAAGAAAAGGTTTTAATGATTTATAACCAGACATGCAAACTTTACATTTCCTGTTTTTACTGTCAAAAATGCAAAAATCACAATCATTTTGAGATCCATGCTTCATTGTTTCCTTGATTTGATTTGATTTGATTTGATTTGATTTATTCTTTCAAGCATGTAAAGACAGTTGATATGACAACACACATAATTTTACACATAATCCAATATCAACTTGCTTATACCTAGTACATGCTTGAATGGAGTAGGAAGAAGTCAGACTTATCCAGTCCTACCCCATGACATCATCTTACCATCATTGGTTTGCAAGCAGTATCTCTACATAGATAATTCTCTTCTACACCACACAAGTAATATACTAAAAAATTATAACAGAGTGTTAACATTCTTACATAATTACATTCTTAGATAATTCTCTTCTACACCACACAAGTAATATACTAAAGAATTATTACAAAGTGTTAACATTCATACCCCACACCCACAATGTTCCATCTGATTAATCATTAAGCCTGTTCTTGCATATATCTTGATTGACACATACCTTTATATTTATGTTTAAACTCATCAATTCTATTACTATTTTTT